ATTCCTCACTGAAGTGGGACTTGCAAAGAAACTTAAGGTGGAATTTAACAGATACCAATGGTGTCATTATGGAAGAACAATTTCAAAGTGAAAAATATGTTAAAAAATATAAAATATTTAAAAAATATTTCACAAAATTAACAGACTATTTTTTAAAATTCTGATTTCAGAATATATTATAAAATTAGTAAGTATACAAAGGAATTAATTTGTTGTCAACACTTAACTTTATTTCTCAGTTCTCCCTCTCACCACAGCAATAAGCTTCCATTAGTAAGAGATAGGGAAATAGTTTTAAAATTTTTCAGGTAATTTATTGATATAATATTAAAAAGTATTCTGTTTAGAAAAATTTACAATCCCCTTCCCCAGGAATTGCCACTTAATGAAGAAGAATTATTTAAATAGCAATCATAGTGTCTTTCAAAATGAGAGGAATATAATGCATTGCCCTTTCCTACGAATAATACCGGTTCTCAATTTGTTTCATTATAACTTCATCTGTCTATAAAGTCATCATTGAAAATTGGTTTTCATAATTTAAATTGAAAAAATTAAAATTGAAATTTATAGTGAAACAGATTCCCATTCAAAATCTAGAACATTTATTACTTTTCAGTTATTACACAGTGAAATACAAGCAGCAACAGGTACTAAGAAACCAGGTAATCTCACCTCAACTTTAATATCATTTTCCAATTCAGCATCTAGAAAATCCAGCGTAACAGGCTCCTGGGATTTAGGATTCTGAAGCAGAAGATAATGAATGATCAAATAATAAAGAGTATTGGAACATTACAAATTATTCTAATCCCTTCATTTCTAAGTAAGCTACTTAACTGCTCTTACTTACCCATCTGTTTTAATCTCTTATAACACGATGAATTACTAGTGGCCCTTTCTCATTTATTTTATTTCATTGGATAGAGTTGTCAATTGGACACATGAAAATCAAATTAACACTAACAGGTAGTGTCTGTCTGCAGTGTGTCACGTACGGGGATCACGCTGGGAATGTGCTTCCCTACTGCTGGTGTGTCACAGACTGTAAGGGTGGGTGAAGACGCATCAGAGGAAGCATTGGATATGAATCTCTGATTAGGTGTCCTGCCTCTGAGAAGGGAGAGGGAAATTTGGGAGGGTTTTCCAGCTGACTGGTAAGATGCATTAATTGTAGTCTTTTGCAATTTAGCCAAAAGAAAAACTATAGACCTGCTACTATGAAGTGGGAATGGACTGTGGCTCAAGATTCAAAGAGGCAGCAATTATAATAAAGAATTTCCTTATGAAAAGAACACAAAAATCACTTTTATTGTCAGCTTTACAGGACTTCTCTGAGCACCTTGCAGTTTTGAATGCATTTCCCTTGATATCGGTACTGTTATCTCAACTTAAGAGATGGAAACTTGAAGCAGCAGCTTCAAGACTTAAGGAATGTACATGATTGACTGTTGACTATGGCGCACAGAGCATTTTGGTAGTATGCATCTGTAGTAACCCTGGTCCCACAGCAGTGTGGGAAGACCACTGTAGCTCTGCTGAATGAGCTCAGACCACCCTCCAGCCTCTACTCCCTTCTCAGTTGCAGTCTGCATTTACTTGGACAGTCATCTTCCATATGAGTTGTTTGGAATCCAACTTTTTTTTTTTTTTTGAGGAATTTTGGCTAACCCCCATTGACTTTATATTATGTGTGGTATGAAAATCGTCAATCCTTATTGAGTAGTAATTTAATGAACCCCCCAATGAAGGATCTTTAGAAAAAAAGAGTATGGGGATGTATTATTTAACCATTTAAATATTTTAGTAATTTATTTAATAATTTGGTTTGTGTCACAGGAAAGGAAGTCAAGGTCTAGTTTTATCAGTAACTGAGCACTGTTTCTCATATGATTAGCAACACAAAAATTGTCATTAGCTGATACTATTATTTCAAGACTAATGTAAGTTCTGATATGGCATTTTTAGAGGATTTCAGTGATTCAGCTATATTAAATTACTTACAGAGTAGAATAAAGTAGACTAAGTCCTTTCTTTCAAAATGATGATTATATTCTTTCTATCCTAACATTCTCTGGCAAAGGTACATGACAAATGTACATGTGACTATTCTATCAAAGAATGCAAGCATGTTTCATCACTATTTATGTATGCATTTCCAGTTCATACTGGAAGAAAGTAACACCCTGAATAGCTGGTAAAAGATGTCTTCATATAATAGGAATCATTAGGATGAGGGGAAATGGCCTCAGGTTGAGTCAAGGGAGATTTAGATTGGATATTAGGAAAAAATTCTTCATTGAAACAGTGGTCAAGCATTGGAACAGGCTGCCCAGAGAGGTGGTGGAGTCACCATCCTTGGAGGTGTTAAAAAAACATGTAGACGCGGCAACTCAGGACATGGTTTAGTAGGTATGGTGATGTTGGGTTGATGGTTGGACTTGATGATCTTAGAGGTCTTCCCCAACGTTAATGATTCTATGGTTCTATTCTATAATAGACTGGAGCATGAAGAGATTAACAGTAGTACTTATTTTCAAGACTGTAATATAGAATAATGTTAGAAGACAAAAGATTATTCCTTCATATTCTTGAGGAACAAATGTACATGTTTCTAGGTATATGGAATCATTCCTTTTCTTAGCAAGTAAGACTTCCTGTCTGCTAAGAGGAAAGTCAATAAACATATTATCAGAAAAAGAATACGCACTGGAAAGATTTCAGCCAAGATACTGGATATTTCTTTTAAATGTCTATGGATAACTTCAAAGAAATTTTTATGTTCCTATTTATATAGGATAGATAAAACTAGTAACTTTAATATAATAGCATTAACATATGTGCTCTAATAATTCAAAACAGTTTGATTATTTTTATGAAGTTGCTTTTTTTCCCCCCCAACAAATCCACACCTTCAAAATAAATCATGAAAGGCTAAAATGTAAAAATAAATAAATAAATAAATATGTTTTCTTACATGCAACGGATAATGAATAGCATGGTCAAACCCAAACAGCATGCATGAAGGCATTGGCATGGCAGAGGAGGCATTTGTGAAGTTCACATTCCATTCCAACACACAAAGGAACAGAAAAAAAAGAAATGGTAAAAAAAAGAAAAACAAAAGCCATCTTATCAAATGAAGGTCAATATTTATTTCAAATGATAACCTGGGCTAGCCATAGTTAAGGAGTCCCAAAGACAAAATATTCAACAGTTCATCAAAATTCAAGTATACATTAACTGTTTCTTCTTGTTCTTTTTAAGACTTTGCGTTATATCCCCACACATTCTTTATAAGGTACTCAGTAATGACTTTTAATAGATGAAGAAACTAAGCATGTATTTACATTGCGTGATGTGCCTGAGGCACAAAGAAATCCATTAGAAATTAGAATAGAAAATTCCTAGCCCCATACTTTAAATGGAAGACTGTTTTCCCTGCTGTATCTTTTTCCCCCATGAATGTGTTTTTACCAGTATTTGGGCTCCATAATTTTTTCTTCCAAGGTTGCCATTTAGCGGGGTTTATTCCAAGCCACGAAGAAACAAACCTACTTTTCAGTTTGCTCTTCTCTTTATCCAGTCATGCACGCAACATGACTAGATTAAGCGCAACACCACCACATTCACCAGCACAACTTAATAAAACAAAACAGAAGTAAATCACTAGCAATGAAGCATGCAAATAAAGGGAGTGCAATCCATTTTCAGCATAATAAACAAAGGCAAAGATCTATTACTTCAATAACAAATCAAGAAGGAAACAAAGAAAGAAAGAACTGGTGCAGCAACTTAAAAAAACCCCGTTCGTTAAAATGTCAGTGTCGTGTGTTTTGGGAGGTCAGTATTCTCACAAATTCTATGGAAGTCGTCTTTGGTGTGAGTTGCAGGAGCCTAGTACCTACTCATACCTGCAGTACTGATGAAGACACAGACTGTTAGGCTTTTAAAATAACTGATGCTAAGAAGGCAGCAAAATCCTGGGCCCCAGAGGGAGACCCAGGAACATCTGGAGTGGATGCACCATCCTGGGCAGCCAGCACAGCCCGGCTACCCAGCAACATCCAAATCATATCACAGCACGCTGGGGAGCCAGGGGTGCTCAGAAAATTGAGATTTTTTTTATGTTCCAGTGCTGCTTTCTCCAGTGCACAAACAAAAAATGTAGCCCAGAGGTGGTGGTCTAGATGTGGTGCAAACACAGCCACTCGAGGCTTGCTGAAATCACTGACTTGAATTAGATCAGGATTTTACACCATATTTCACTGGTGGTGTTATGCAAGCCACTGGTTTTGCATTATATATTCCCATATGTGTAAGAAATTAACACGGTATACTGTACCTAATTTTGTTATTTCACCAGTGACACAGTTAATCTACTCGTTTAATGATTTTTAAGTTTTCATTAAATGTTTTCTGCTCAGGGATTGCATTACATAAATGTTACTAATTTCCTTTTCCCTGTTTGCTTAATGGCAGTTAATCCTCTGGAGTTGTGTTTGCTAAACTAAGAAACCTGATGTAAATAGCAGATAAGACATATGCCCTACTCTGACTTCCCCAGAAAAAAAACTGAACGGTTCATTTGAATTCTGTAATGTTATACAGCATACACTGTACAATAAAACTTGGCAATAAAGTAGTAAGAATGATCTCCTGACTTTGGGTTTATGCAAACAGAGCCAGCACAAGTAGTCTCTTTTTTTTTCCAGTCTTCAAATTAATTTCAAAATCTGAAGAATAATTTTTCAGCACGGCTCTAATTAGCACCTATTAGTAAAGCACCATGATTTAATGGAACGCCCTTCACTACAGCCAATAACATGTTTTCTATTATTTAAACAAGGAAGGATGCAAGCTTCATGCTTTAGAAGCTGTTTGTCAAAGTAAACAGTTCTCTAGTTAGATTTTTCCTAGTAAGCAGGGCAGAAGCTTTCTAATCGTATTTCCAGGTCTATGCATTCTAATGCACTAATCACCTCCATCCAAAGTTACCTGTACATTGGGTCTCCTTTTTCTCAATTTAACCTTTGGTATGCCCACACCAATTTGCTGAAGTAACAAAAAAGCAGTAATTTATATTTTTACACTATTAGTAAACAGCCTGGTTATAGAATGGAAGCGTTCCCTCAATATCTATACCCTCCAGTGCGTGTTTACTGGAAGCAGAAACTAGCCCTCATTCCGATCAAGAGTTCTGAGCTCTCTGTCAGAACTGCACACAGGTTTTGTCTAGGGAAACAAAAACCAGACATATGTCCAATGATGTGAATTAAGTTAACCGAGAGCTCTGCCTCCCACATACTCTGCCAGAATTAAAATACAGAATGAGAAGAGTTTCACTTTTTGTTTTAAAACCATCTCCTCTTACATTTCTTTCAAAACTATAAACCGTAAGACAAAATACTGGATCCTACTGAAGGCATCTGGAATTTTAGAACTACAGTGAAACGGATTTTGATCAGAACCATAATGAAAATGAAGAAAAGGATGCTAATCTTTAGAACAGATTCAGAAATTGAATTATTTACTGTTTTCAAATCTTAGGTAATTAAGACTAATCTTGTTAACGCATGCTTAATTCACTCACTTCAGTGATTAAGTTTATTTGGTGGGGTATCCACCTGTTCTCTCCCAGGACAATGGGAAAAATACACGCATGTACACACAGATGCACAAAGAAAATTGGCAGAAATACATAAAATTAAGCATTTGTTTAAAAATGTAATATAACTAGTTACGCAAATTTGAAAAATGATATTTTAAGCAGTTTAAAACTGTATTAATCTCAAAGTTAAAAAAAAGGGGTTTCCTGTGCTATATTTTGATGTAGATTTCATGGGCAAATAAGAACATGATGGGAAAGTTCTTAATGATTTTATTCCACTTTTACACCTGCCTTTTGTTAAATTTTCTCAGCTGTGCAAATGACTTTACAAGTTCTGAATTTCTAGGGTCTTTTTTTGTGAGATCATACTGCAAGACAATTTCTTAAAATTTAATTGTGTTGAACCAGTTTTGATTTGAGGTAACAGATTTTCAGAAGGAAAGCAGAAGACATTCAGAAGAAGGGACCATTGGAAATTTCATACACCCTCACCTCTTCAAAGGTAAAGACGTAATTATGTTTTAGTTTACATCTATTGAAATATTGCTGGCAAAGAGGGTTAAGATGTTGTTTGTTAATAAGTTAACAGCTACCATGAGGTTCAACTAAAATTAATATGACATGTTAAAGAAAGTCCATGAGTTCTAAATACATCTGTCTTTGTAGTGTACCTTAGTTTTAAAACGTAGTTCTTGTATCAGTCTGAATAGCATGCACCACCCCAAACAAACTGGGAGTGAAAAAGTCTAGTCTGTGTAACTGTTAATAACAACAATAACAATAATAATAATGCATATGCTTAATGTTACATTTAGACATTATTCTACAACATAAAACATATCACTTATAAAATATCCTTTTCCAAACATACTCTAAATCAAACATTTGAGCCATATGTGAAAGCATCTCTGGACTTCCATATCCTTTTAAGTAGAAAACTATACAGAGAAACCATAGCAACTGGTTTCCTAATAATCCATCTCAGTCTGCCTAGATTTAGTTGGGATGAGCTGAGTTTTTTGCTCTCTAACAAAGGTTCATTTTTCTTCAGTGCTACGAGTTTACACTGCAGTATCATAGTACAGAACAGAATCCAAATCCATCAGTTCCTCACAAGATTCTGCTTAAAATGAGAATACTACCTTGCTTCATTTTATATTCCTTCTGGTAACACAAATATATTTTAATTTGCGTATAAGGAAAAGGTAAATAGACCAGTCACTATATTAGAGTTTCTAATAATCTCTAATGAAGAAAAGACTTAGCCAGTAATGATGCATGTATTTGTCTCAGAATAATTCACCAAGCAAAATCATCAAATCAAAACTTTCATTTTTTAACACATGAAAACCTAATGCATATGTTAAGAAACTGAAGCCCATCTGAAGACTATATAAACCCCTTCTTTTCCTTTTTTTTCTTTTTGTTTTAAGAAAGGTCCTTTCAAAATACATCAAAAGGGATATTTCATCAATAGTTATCTTCTTCAGAAGCATTTTTTTTCTTTCTTCTTTTGTTGCAAACTTGGCAAAAGATTTCAGACATATTCATTACTTCACCAGGAAATTAATTCACATATTCACAATGCTGACTTCCCCAGCTTGAGAATTAAATGAATCACTAAAATATGTAGGCAAATTCTTCATTTCTTTCTCTGCCTTTGACAGTTAAAGACAGTGAAGTACTGAAAAGGGAGTCTGCTAGCCCTCTTCTAGCTATGATAGGACTTTCTGGTGAAGAAACAAGAGAGGACAGTCACACAGCCAAGAGGTCAAGGGCTTGCTGCCATTCTACTACAGGAACAGGGCTAGGAGGAATAAAGTGATGGATATGCATCCAAGTTACAAAAAATCCCAGTATTTCCATGCCTAAAGGCAGCAAACACAGGCTTCCATTACTTAAGAAGTTTCTCTAAAGTGTGTTAAGTGTTAAAAAATAACTTAGGAGCAGGGTGCCACTAAAGCTTAGAAGTCTTATGGGCGTTATTTGCCTGTGTATTGACAGCTTGCATTTACCTTTGTCACATATTGCTCAAACCATCTCAATGAGAAATTTTAATATTGACAACTGAACCACATGGATATATTGTTTGGTGTTCAATACTTATAGTGACTCATTTGTAACTTTTTATCTGTAAACAATCCATACATTTCTCTCAATCTGGAGTGATTTTTTTTTTTTTTTAACTTAATTAAATTTTGTCTTTTATATAATGCTGTATTTATGCACTATGAATTCAGGAGACAAAATTTGCTGAAAGTATGTTTCTAATATAATTACTAACATTTTCAAATATTCCACTAAACAGAAGATTGACATGGAGAAACCTTTCCCTGAAACAAAGATTAAAGTTCTGATTTCAGAGAAAAAAAAAAAAAAAAATCATCCATTCATGTTGAAATATTTCATCAAAGCCAGGGAAGCAACTTATTTGAGATGTAATATAGGAGTCCCCACAGGGTGAGGACTGCAGTTAATGGATATAAAGCCAAACTGAAATACTGAGTTTAAATTTTCCTGAAATTTGAGGAAAGGTGCATCCTAATCAGATTTAGGCAAAGATTTCATCTTTAAAGATGAAAGACCTTTCTCAAGTTGAACTACTAAAAAAATCTAGCATTCTGGGAATGAGTGCTCAGCTAGATCCATCCCAACTCTGCAGCTCAGGTTTCAGCTCTGGTAAACAGAAAATAAGCAAAAAAACAAATATGAAAATACAAGAAAAATACATTGTGTTTGCCCCGAATTTCTGTGGTTTTGCAAGTATGGAAGTTCCAATTTCTGAAATGAGAAAGCACCACAAAATAAACACTCCTCAGAGTTTAATTTGAGAGCATCTTGTAACGCACTACAAATTCTTCAGAATGATACCACAGCTACCACGAGTTGCTTTTTACATTCATAGGTATACTAAAACACTTATTTCACATACAAAAATATGTGTGCAAAATATACATATTTTTTATTTTATTAACAACCAAATTCCATACAAGGCAATGCTGGTCTTTGTGCTTACTAAAGCAGATTTGGATGAAGCCATACATGCACCACGGATTTTCCTGACACTCCCAGAACTGAGAAATCTTTACTATTGCTTTCTGGCTCTCTAGCACTTTCAGCAGATCTGAGATCTGAGATTCAGAGAAATGAATCAGAAGGTTTTTCATACCTTTGGCTGAAGATTTGGATGAAGTAGCACATACCCATTAGGATCAATTGCAAAATAGTATCCATTTGGACAAAGCTGAAAGAAAGAAATGAAGGTTAGCATTATAAGGTTTAAAGTAATAAAGAAAGATTAATTAATGGATTTCAAGCAATGGTCACATTCAGCAAAACGCATTGCCTTAGGCATCATGAAATATGTGAGATATGAACATACAGAAGATAATTTCTTAATATTTACTCTTTTAGAATCATAAACTTGAAGAATAATTTAGGCTGATAGGAGCACTGGAGGTCACCTGATAGAACCCTTCACTGAAAGCAGAACTAACTTCAAAATAAGATCCAACTTCACAGATGGACTAGGTTTCAAAGGGTCTTTTGAATACCTCCAATGGCAGTTCCGCAACCTCTCTGGGCAACCTGCTCCAGTGTTTAACCACCCTCACAATGATTTTTTTTTTCCATATTTCTAGTTGGAATTTCCATTGCCACAACTATGTCGATTGCCTCTCGTCTTTTGCTATAAACCTTCAAGAAATGTCAAGGTCCATCTTCTCTATAACTCCCATTAGGTAACCCATTAGGTTTCTTCTTCAGTCTGAACAAACCCATGTCTCTCAGCTTCTCCTCATATGCCATGTACTCCAGCCCCTTGGCCAACTTGGTGACGCTGCACTGGACTCTGTCCAGCGTCTCGGTGTGTTTCTTGTACTGAGGAAACCAAACTTGGACACAGTACTCCTGATGCAGGTGTTCATTACAAAACTGGCCTTCTTTACTGCAAGGGCACGCTGCTAACATGTTCAGCTTGTCCTCCACCATGACCCCCAGGCCCTTTCCTGCCTTTTGAGGCATTCTGTCCCAGCCTGTACTGTGGCATGGGATTATTCCATTCTAGACGCAGCACTTTGCATTTGCCTTCAGTCAAATTCGTGATGTTCCTTTGTTTCTCACAGTACTAGTTATTTTCTTAGAAATTCCCCAGCTAGATGTCTAAATATATAAATCAATCATACCGAGTAGGGTACAGACAGATAAGTATATTAGAGAACTTTTCTATTTTCTAAATGCTAAGTATCATTATTAGCCGAAATGATTGTGTACTCTACACTGTGATAAGAATCAAACACTCAACTAAACAGCAGTGCCTTAAGCTACAGAAAAATAATTACTTGGAATATATCCCCCAATGTACAAGTTGGCTTTTACAGATGCACCCTGATGGACAATTCACACAGAAGCACATATATGGCTGGAGAGAAAACTGTCAGAAAATCTACAACAATGGAAATGAATATATGAAAAGAAGCCTGCTGGTATTTTGACTCGCATCCAGCCATTGCTGTATGACTTATGAAACACCATGCAAAGAAATCGTACATAAATCATACATAAAGAGAAACCACCAATGCAAGCAACTTACCGTAAATCGGGGTGTCAGTTTTTTTATGTCCTCCAAAGAGACATCAACCCCCATTACTCCAAGAATCAGCTGATTCTGGCAAGATTCAAAAATGTTAGAATATGTTTGGCATACTTACAATGCAGAATAACTGCAACAGTCAGTGAATTTTGATTTTGCCTTCATCTCTTGTTTGACAGATACTACTTGAAAAGTTGCATATTTATTTGTCTGTTCTAAATATTTTAAATAATATCCATATGATTTAAAATAGCATTCAATACATTCAGAATTTAGTATAGAACATGAAAACTGTTTATGAAGATGAATATGGATACTTTCCTGGATCAATAAACAATAAATGTAAGAACAAAACAGTGGAAAGCAAAAGTGATTCATTAATACTGCTGATGATGTAGACACTAAATTACTAGCACCAATATAGAGCTACTGTTGCATGCTAAGGTTGGGCAATTGATAAGTGCGACCCCAAAACAATTAACCTCTTTTGGATATGGTATAATGATGAATGGAAAAAACCCCAAACCACCACAAAACCAAAAACCCCAGTGACTATAGCAATCATCAGCACTTGAAATAAGGGACTTGGGCACTACATTTACTTTACTTGCAATTATCTTCCTACTACAGAAAAGGGTGGCAGTCCTGTACGTACTATCACCTGAATCCCTTCTCCATATTAAATAAATTTGGAAAATGTATTGGAAGATGCATCTTGCAGGGTGTAACCTAAAATTCATGTAGATACCCAAGTCGAGCAGACTAAAGTTTTCCTCTTGTTCCATCCAGGTCTTCTGTGGTAGACCATGGCTGTTTTACTTCTCAGAAAGACGTACTTTGATAATTAGTAGTCTCTCACTTTGCAACTGGACTCAGCAGATTGCAGGCATTATCTTGTAGATAAGATTATGAAATCTTTTGTTTTGTTTTTAAAGGGAAACTAAGAGAACTATTTTGAAAGTAAACGAAACAGTAGTGATCAAATTTGTATTTATTTACTCTGAGTCTATTTAATATCTAAGAAACTGAATCAAAGAATATCTTGGCTAAACTTCTGTATATTTTGACCTGAATGAACATGACTATCACACCAAATGTACACTGTAAAGCATACTCTAAGGTCTGATTTTAAAAAAGCAGCATTTTGATTTTGCAAAAAGGATATAAATTGATTCCTTATCAGACTGTAATAGGGATGGGGAATTGTATTTATTTAATACTTAGATTTTAATCTAAGTACACAGTGCTATTTTCTATTATCTTTACAAACAATTAATTTAAAGTCTCTACATCATTGCTTTTCACCCTGAAATGTCATAGTCTCACAAACTTGTTATAAATATATTTGAGCTTCCTTTCTTGGCAAGGCCTGAATAATATCATCGTAGACTTCCCATCTAATGAGCACATAACACACTCCCACTGCCACCAGGTCTCAGAGATAGAGCAGAGAATGTCATATCCTGAAACTCAGAACTGCAAAAAGGATGATCTGCATTTTCTTGTTCCCAGAAGGTTATCAGGCAACTAGAGATGACCCTTTTGTTTCTGATGTACAAGACAAACTGTAGAAAGCTCTATGGAAATACATATTTTTTCAAGGAGTTTAGCATTAAATTTAATTTAAATAACTGATTTTTTTTTCTTTAAGTAACAGCTTACTATTTTTCCATTTTGTTCCTTTGTTAGATTGAAGACGGGTAGAGTTCCTGTAATCACAAGGCCCAGCTCCTAGGAAATAATAACATATAGAGGGGAGAAAAAGACTTTTTAGTTGAATAACAAATATTGAACTATAATATATTAGAACAATCCAGGGATTACTGTAGCCAAACACTAGATTAGAGCACTGCCTTTTACTTTGTAAAAGAAGAAAATTAATAATACTTCTCTGATTTTATACATAGAAAGTTAAAATTACAGATTTTGTGTCCATCTGTTAGTGAGAATAATAAATTACTTTTTAAAAGTAGATAGTGTGCAACAACTTAGGATATAATAGTTTAATAGAAAACATATTTATAGCTAAAGTTCCCACTCTACTAAAAACTCTAGATAGTAGGGGTAAAAAAACCCAACCAAACAAAAAAAACCCTGAAGAAGAAGAAAGAAAAAAGGTGAAAGCCAAGCCAAACTTAAAGATAGTAAGTAGGTAGGCAACAAATACGTGCAGGCACAATCAACAGAAAAATACAGCAGGTAATTCTACTACTTTTCATATCCCCACTACTTTTCAATGTCTTGCAATAATGTCCATCAGCAGTTCTGCAAAATTACATAGTCTCTTCTGGTGCTGAGGAAAGGGATTTGCACTTATTTGGGAAGTTATAAGAAAATTAGTTCTTTCATTTATTAACAGTCACAACTCCTACCGAGAAGAGGATCCAGAAAACCATATGTTTAGATAGCCTGAAAATATTTGTTTTCCATCCTAAATTGTCCATAGGCAGATCTCTACCTTTTTTTATCCTAATGTTTGGGTTTAATTTCAAACCCCCCCCCCCCCCCCCTTACTTCTTCCATGTATTTTACTGAGGAACCATATAACTTTCTCTGTTTCATTAGAAAAAAATAAGCTAAAATACTTTATTAGTCCACTCTGATGAAATTAGTTCTCCATTTGCCCAGTCTAGTAACACCGTTTTGAATTTTAAACCATCCTTCATTAACTTGTGTATAAAATAAAAGGTGAAGAGATCAGAGTTAGTATATTTTACAACAAGCAAGGAGGAGAGGAAAAGTGGGCTTTTTAGGAGAATAAGAGAAGGAGGAAATGGAGATGAATCAGAAGAAAAGAGAGAGGAGGATATTTTCTAGAAGTAGCATTGAATAACAATACAGGAAGGGTAAGTATGGGGGATAAGATCCTCTCCCACCCCAAAAAATATACAATTAGAGAGTACAATAATTGTGAATAAATTATGACTAACTGGTAAACCTAAAATTATCTGAAAATTCTGAGATTATCTTGCAGAAAGTGAGGTTAGAGCAACACTATAACAGAACGTGAAGGAGCAAGGCAAGAAGAGGTGTGAATTGCCACAAATACATCAAACTATTAAAGACAGTCTTGAAAGACAGCATCAAATGAAAGTACCTCTTTAGGATTTCATAACCTGAATTTAAGCTCAATTCGAATGTGGCCTCATGTAATGCACTTTGCATTATTTTAACCTGAGCCCCAAAGCAGCTGCTGGACAGTAAGAGACAAAGGATAGGACAAAGCCCAGTGAGACACAAGCAGGAGAGAAGCAAGCCCTACAGGACGGAATTTAAGGCTCTATGGAATTTAAGTTAAAGAACCAGTTTGACAAGATAGTCCCAATCCCTGCTGAAACCCAGAATCAGGAAAAGGCTCCAGAGTGGATTGCATACATCTGTGCCTTTATGCTCTCATCTGTGATGAGGAAGTCCACAAATTTCAGCCTTTACCTCAACAGTTTAGCTTGAGTTGGTCTTCACTTAATAAATATATTAGCAAAAAGATAAATAAAGATATTAGTAAAAAGAACATGTCCTACTTTTTATAAATATATATATGCACATACACATAATTGTTTATATACAAACACACATGCACAACACAATGAATGCAGAAAAGTTTGAAGGAAAAACTGAATGAAACCACTGAATATATAAAGCAAAACAGCAGAAGACTGCAGGTATCACTCATTTTACTTCATTAAACAGATCTCTTTCTATCCCCAGTTACAAATTTAGCTTTGACTTTACAACAGGATATGTACAGAACATATGAACTTTTGTCATAACATCCTTTATGTTTCCAGTAAGTATCTCAACAGTAACCAAGAAAACATGGTTAATGAACTTCTGGCCATTAAAATTCCAAAGAAAAACTGGTTCCTTTGTATCACGCTCAGTTCTATGATGAGTTGATAAAAATTTTACAGTAATGCTGACTGATGGGAAGAAGTGGATTTTGACATATTAGATGACCATGTGAACTTGGATAAATACATGTTTCCAGATTACCATTTTGCAGTAATTTTTGCCTAGTTAGAGTTACTCAGAATCACAGAATGACAGAATTGTTTAGGTTGGAAAAGACCCCTAAGATCATCAAGTCCAATCCTTAACCTAGCATTGCCAAGTCCACCACTAAACCATGTCCCTAAGTGCCACATCTACACGTCTTTTAAATCTCTCCAGGGATGGTGACTCCACCACTACCTTAGGCAGCCTGTTCCAGTGATCGATAACCTTTTCAGTGATGAAATTGTTCCTAATATCCAATCTAAACCTCCCCTGGTGCAACCTGAGGCTATTTCCTCTTATCCTAACACTTATTACTTGGGAGAAGAGACCAACCCCCACCTGGCTACAACCTCCTTTCAGGGAGTTGTAGAGAGTGATCAGGTCTCCTCTCAGCCTCCTTTTCTCCAGGCTAAACAACCCCAGTTCCCTCAGCTGCTCCTCATAAGACTTGTGCTCCAGACCCTTCACCAGCGTTGTTGCTCAAGAAGATGGATATCCAGAGCAACAGATTGGAATGCTGCTAATAACACATTGCATTTTGTAGTTTCCTGAACATGTTGGTTGTTTTTTTGGGTTTTTTTTGGTTTGTTTTTTTTTTTTTTACAGGACCAAAGTGATAAATTCAGGAGTAAGGAAAAGATTTCATATATCTTTTTGTTTTTTTCCCCATTATATACACTGTCCAATTAAAGAAATCATTACCTTGAGCAAGCAAGTAATTACAACAACCATGATAGTCTAGAGATCCAAGTTCAAAATCTGTACAAATACCCAGTAACATTGACAGGTTTCATTCTACCTGTAATGCTTTATAAAAAAAAAAACAAACCCAAACAACTCTACACCAGGAACATAACAGATGACTTCTACTGCAGCACAGGTACAATACTGGAAAACTATTTGCTTCTTTTTTTCTTTTGTTAATTTGAGGACGGCAATGACCTACACTTAAAGATCTGTGCGTAGGATAAATTGCTTTTCTCTGTTAAATTTCAGGACACTTAGGAGGATACTAAGTGCAAGTAATGACCAGCATGTTTAGCAAATTGCTCTATTGTAGTCTACAGATGTTGGAAAAGTGAGAATATTATGTTTGTAACTGTAGGAAATTGAGTCCTCAGGACTGTTGAAAATGGACTCCTATGGTTACTGATTTGACAAGATTCTTACTACTAGAGATAAATACCAGATAAATACAGATCATACCAGAGCATCCAGATAGACGTTTGTCCATTGGACCTGTTTGGCTTTCTCTCCAGCTAAAACCATTGGTCTTCCCAAAACATCCAGATATTCCTGCCAAAAAGTGTAATAAACTCATCAGAAGGCAGTTATTAGATCAAGTCCAGAAACAGTATAAAAAATAAAAAATAATAAAATAAAAACAATGAAAAGACCAGTAAAAAAAAAAAGTCAAAATTCACCAGTAATAAAGGAGTAGTATTTAATTACTTCTTTAAATTTAATTTCTTTAAATTAAATAATTCAGACTCAGTTTGCAGTATTTACTGCCAAGGAAATTCCTGTATTTCAGTCTCAGTCACATGGACCTTATACATCCATAACTGCCGCTCTCTTTCCATGAATTGAGAATTACAACTTTTTCTGTTTCAAAATTAATTGCTAATTACATTATGAAATTACAAGCAGATCGCAGAACCTTCAACCCAGAAAAGAGAGTGGGCAATGGAGGGTGAGTGATGCAGCAGCTGGGTATGTTAACCTCCTAGAGCAAGAATGTGCATAACATCTATTGAAACAAAAAATTTAGAATTTTAAAACCTCATAGTCCTTGCCTTCCTTCGGTTCAGGAGTACGGCTAAAGCTGACATCTTATGAGATGTCAGACATCTGGTCTTGTTTGGGAGTTGATGCCATCAAACTTGTTTCAGTCTTCAACCTTTTCTATTTGTCTGATCATATTAGGGATATCTCTTGCCAGACACTGTCTGGAAGAGTTTAAGAGAATCAAGCCAAGAAAAGGACTCTTATTTTCTGCCAAAAAATGTCATGTCTGGCCTTGGAAGGACAAAGAATTGCTATGATATTTCTCTTCTTTTCTGGACTTGTGAATACACAGACTTTCAGATAACTGAAAATAATATCTGTTCATCTATACTGTCAGTTTGGATCACATCATATAATTCCAGGGTGCTGTGCCCTTAATTATCTACACGCATGGCTGCTAAAATTGTCTTGCATTATTTTTGAAGGATAAAACTGACGTCTCTCCCAGATTGGTTGGATCAATCCAGGAACCTCTCCTGTAAGCAGGATTGTACCAGGTCACTGTTTCTGCCCAGCTGAGTTCAGATACTCTAGCAGGCCTATGCCTTCACACACATCCACAGCCTTCTCCACGTAATACAAACCCTTAGGAACATGCTGTAAGTACGGCAGGAGGCAGACTATGAATGTCTAGATAGGTTACAAAAAATTAGTGATTTTATAGAACTTTATGAAAACATTGTTGCCATGTAGAGACATGGGATCAAGAGGGACCAAGGGATCAAGATCAATGAGGGACCATGTAAGGCCAGGAGGAAAACTGAGCCCAAAACACAGTCCTTGTGCAGAGAAGGTCTGCAGGACACAGGTCACTTCAAACGTTATGTTGTGTGCACATGGTCAGCTTGCTTTAGAGGATGCTAGCATGACTAGTAGGCATGCAAGCTGCTGTGGGCCACCTGGGCAGGGAAACAGGGATCACATTGTAAATTGGCTCACTGAAACTACTAAAAATAAATAAATAAATTAGAATACTTTAACAGCATGATGACTCATATATAAAAGAAGGCCTTAATTTTTTTCTCAGTTCTCAATTTAAAATTTCTCAATTCAAAAAATTTAATTGGTTCAAACAGAGGTGAAATGCAACATATTTAAGAACAGGAATTACTCCACTTCTTTGCGTTATAACTGTATCTAGATTTGGCCAACACACTTACCTGGGTGTTTATTCTTATGGCTCCAATGGATGGAATTTCATAATAATAACCTAAAACATGGAACAGAAATAATACCATTTTAATACTGCTAGTCTCTTAATCTTGAGGAATTTCAGTTAGCTTGCAATTTCTAATTTAATTTTTATAGAAATCACCATGTATGACTGGAATACTTTTTCAATGCATGCCACCAAAACGCATGGCCACATATCACCATGCCATATAGGCCAAGCTAGTTACTCTGAAGGATATAATGTTTTTCTGTTGTCTGATGTTCTTAAAAATAATTTACTGAATTTGTACTCCTGAATTCCCAGTTACTCTGATGTGCAAGTATATTTAATGGACATTTTAATATACTGTGACAGCAACATAATTATATGCTGAATGCATATAGGAATGCAAGTATAGCTACAGTCTGCCACAATAATGAAGTTCACAGAAGAAAAATATAACGCACTCTGTGGAAAGGATGAAAAAATCAAACTGGTATTTCTTCTAACTAAACATCATTTGTCTTTATTCAACATTGATTCTATCAAGTATTTGTTCGAATTAAAAATATTGCCCATATGCACCAACAAGACTGAAAAGACCAGTACACAGAGCTCCTGATCCAGGTTCTGACATCCCATTTCAGACCACATGATTTTGCAAGTAAAATTGGAAGGAACGAGGGAGGACTGGAGACATAAGAACACTGAGCTTAGTCATTTACTTTCCCTTAAGCAATCCGTGGCTCGATAGTAAAATAAATTTTTAATTAAGGAAAAATTGAATAAAACTTTGCTTCTTTGGATGTGCAAACAAATAATCACATCAATTTTGGACAGAAGATTATGGTCATTTTGCCTTGATAATAAGATGACATAGGTGGTTATGCTTTAAGCCAGCTGGGCTGCATTTGTTTTAAAACAATGGACTTTGCATGCACAGAATATTTTGAGATACAAAGACATTAGTAAAAAAAATCCCTGTTCAAAAAACAAATGCGTTTCTGTAATTATCTGACAATACAATCTGCTCTTCATGAAGTTGTAGTATCTTCTGCATAACTTGCCAACATACTGACGGACTCATGAGGTTATGAGTATGCTATTCACACAGGCTATGGATTCTTCTCTATCATTATTTGTTTCTGTATTTATATCTTTCTCTTTCTCTTATCTTTGTTTTATGTTATTCTCATCCCTCAGAATCACATCTCATCCTCCCTCCACGGTAGTCTTAATTTGCAAGACCCTTTCTAATCTATCCCCCCTCTCACCTCTTGCTTCTCACTAATTTGCAAAATACATTTTCAGTCAGGCCTGGGAATAGCTCTATTTAAAATACTGACTAATATTGTTTGATAATTTCTCTATTTTCTATTTATCTGTATTTAGTTCTTCTCTCTTGTTCCATAATTATACTGTAATGTATTTGAGACACCTATTTTTCACACTCTTTGTAAATGTTTGTGATCACATTTTTCATGTAGAAATTTTAGGAGAAAGCATTTTACTTCCTTACTTTCACCTTTTATTTTTTTTCCTACATAAAGATATCAAGATCAAAATATAAAAAAAATAGAAGATCCTTTTAGAAGCTAAGAAATCACAGCAAGAATAAATTTGATATTTTCATTAAAAAGGCAAAAAATAATGCAAGTCATCTGGTCCCTTGTAAGCTTTGGAGAAAAACAGAAAGAAATTCAACCAGCCAACCAACTAAAGAAAAATTCCCTTTGTCCAGACCCATTAATATAAAACAGCTTTGCTCAATTTCTTATCTGTCATCAGTTCCATCTTTTCTTAGATGGCTATCACAACAAGATTTCTCAAAACTGAACCATAATATGATCTTATTATTGTTATAAAAATACTGTGATATTTTTCTTACAATATAAAATTTTAAATAATAATAATAAATAAATAAA